GATTTTTGTTAAAATATGGAGGAAGTACAGTACGCAGTGTCGTATTCAATTTCGCATTCTTTATTTCGTTTCGCAAGTACTTCCAATCTCTAAAAGTATCAGTCAAGTAGAGAAAGACACATTGATTTTCCAAAGAGCATTAAAATATAATTGATCTGGCTTTACAGCAATTACATTTACAAAAGCACTATTGTCCAGAACACAGGCGGTATGGGGAGGGAGGGAGGAGAGAGAGGTGAAAGGCACTTTTTTTCCACAAATATTTTATAAAACGGAGGCCAGCGTTGTGGCATCAAGTTGTTTATATATCTCTATGTATTAAAATTCGATTGTGCACCAGCTCCCACGTTCAGCGGCCATGTTGTCTATTCTACTGTATGCTAAGATGTATCCGTGTTATATGTGTTCTATCGATATATATTCAATCTGTCTCATATCATTATATTTTAAATAGAGCATAATGATATTAGTGTAATAAAATTCAATGCCTTTTGTGTAAATACTTTTTCAATTCGAAGATAAATCAATTTGCGAAACTTTCCCTTGATTCGTAAGACACAGAGCCTGGGGCTGATAGGCTTGAAATCTGTAACTAGCTGGGTCACTCTTTTTCCCACAATGAATCCAGTTCCAAACGGGTGTAATCGGTCATGACAACTATAATAAATTGTGTGCTGACCTTTCTTAAGGCTGCCTTGTCCAGACCACCTGATCTCTTGGATGGCCGCAATGTCTATTGAATATGTGTTTAAGATGTTTAGGAGTGTTTGTGTAGCTCCGGGTCTATGTAGAGTTAAAACGTTCCATGAAGCCAAAGCGAAGTCCAATTGACGAGCGTTGTAGCGTTTCCTGTTTATCGGTCCGGCTAATCTTTTTGGAGCATTCATGATATAAGTAATTTAAGGGAAACGGGCTATCGGCCCACTGCCCCAGAGTTAGGTGGAGGGACTGCCTCCTCAGAGCGTCCTGACGTGCTCCCCCATCCGGCGCGGCTTCCTAGGGAAGGTGATCCTAGGGTGTGTTCTGTGACTTTGTGTCACTGTGAGTGAATTGTGTATTGTCCTGTGTGTTTTGCGTAGTGTACTGAACTCGGGAGGCTGAAGGAGCGCCAGTCCCCAATAACTGTGCGCTACAGCTAGCCCCTGCGGAAAATAAAATCTAAAAGTAAAAGATAATAATCAAAAAGTATATAGAATCAATAAAAATGGAATCAACTTAAAGATAACTAAATTAAAATAACACAGACGTATTATTTTTTTGGTAAAATTTGGAGAATTCTCCAGGAATAAGGTCTAGAAGAAGTGGGATACTGAGGCCATGGCCTAAGGTTTTGCTGCTTACGTAAAATGCAGCATTGTCTATTGTCCGAAGGACTTTGGACAGAAAGGATTGGATGTTAGAAAATTTAGCTGCATTCCGCAGTTATATAGATATGTTTCAGGATTGTCATATAGGTCAGTAATTAGTTACCAATAGTAAGTTTACTGTTAAAGAAAACACTTAAAAGCTCTTAAAAGATTCTCAGAACAACTCAGTAAAATTCATCAACAATTTCAAGAGATAGGGAAAAGAAAAACAGCTCGATTCATCAATCATACCATACATCGCATCATAGATTAGATGACTAAGCGGCAGCAGATATAATGCCTTGAGGTATCTGTGTCATTAATTGGTGGATTAAAAACTAAGCCTATTTTCGGATACCAATTCTTATGCCAATACCAAATCAACGACCGAAAAACTATGTGACTACTTTTTGCGTAGAGGAGAAAACGTCATTATATACTCAATTTTAATACAGTAGGATGTGGTACTGTAATCAAATTGAGTCTAATGCACGAAAAACGTTTCCAAGAACATCCTATGGTGATAGATCGGCATCTCACGATTTATACAAAATTGTTTAAAAATTTAATAAACCACACTACGACAACAATTATTCAACCTATAAGGGTTTCTAATAATCTATAAGGATGGTTGGGAGTACAGTCACAAATAACACAGGCAGGTATGAAATTGTATGTGTGATCTCTCTTCTTCCAGTTGGACAATAATCAATTATTTTTTTACATATTATATGTCAAACAGTATTATATTGTAAGTATGGTCTCATAATATCTCAAGAAAAACCATACAAAACATCTAAATAATTTATTTCGTAAATGTTTGATTATTTTGAATAAAACATGTTTTGCATGCATGTTTTCAAGTTAAGTTACACTTCATGGTTATAATTTAATTTAAACCTTTTTTTTAATAGAATCTACACATTTTCGGTCACTGGGAAGAATAAAATAAATCAGAAATTAAAGTAAACCATTATTGTTGTAGTTTTAAAAGATCCTCGTATTGTGATTTAATATTTTAAGCTGAAATGTTGAGTTTGGCAAAATTTAAGAAAACTATAAAGATGGTATGTACTTTCCACGATTAATGTTTGGCAAACTTTTTTTTTTGTTCTTGGAAATGTTATAATTGTTGTGTGAGTAACTTCTAGGATGTTAAAACTAAGACCATTTTTATGAATTTAATGGAATCATTATCAATTAGTAAACTTATATAAATCATTACTTCATAATTTTTTCTCAGTGTTGTATTGCTGAATTACTCAGACTTGATACATATAGAACATAAACACGTACTATTTTGATTTTTTTATTTACGTGTCAAATAATCTTCATACACTGGGCTACAATATTTTTTAGTATCAGAAGTAAACAATTTTAATCTGGAATTCCATTCAATTAATATACAAATTATTTTATACTTCAGTTGAAAAGGATAGAACATTTCAAAATATTTCATCTTACTTATTTAAAAAGAATGAGTTCATCTGTACTAAACTCTCTTGTTCGTATTTTTATTTTTCATATTAATGCTATAAATAACGTGCATTAAGATTTTTCAGGAAAATAAAGGTTGACCCATTTAAAAGTATCAAATGGATTTTTTTTTATTTTTTCAGTATAAACTTGAGTTAAAGTTGAGTAGGTTTAAAAGTTATATGATAACGTTTAATATGTCCCTATCAGCAGGTTTATTCAAGGAGAAAGTGAATTCATAAAAATTTATAATAGTAAATTTGACATATGAAGTGTTTGTGAAATAATCACTGATGATGATGATAAACACATATTGAAGATAAAGTAAGTTCTGAATGAATCGGTTAGAATATACGTGCTATTGCTGGCGGCAGTAGATCATCTGATGGGACTATAATAGCGTGAAACTAAATACTTCCTCCCTTCTCTCTCCCCCTCAAACCATCCGTCAAGTTAATATTTATCGACTTCAGAGAAAACGACAACACATTCCTCGAATCCTACGGCAGGCGTGCAGTGAGCTGTGCATTCAGAAATCTAGCAGGACAAAAGTCCAAACAGGCATATTTATATGAAAAACTACGAAATGTTAACAAAATAGCTGATTATTATAAACAGAATAAAACATTATTAAATTAAAATTTCAATTATTACATATTTTATTTACTTTTTAAAAATAAATTTTCATTCGATCTTCTTATTTTAGAAAACATATTAAAAAAAAATAAGTTTAAGCTTTTATATTTTTATTTTGGTCACTTAAAATATCTAAAAAATGTATTAAACTATTAGGCGATCTTTAAAGTAATTTAATTTATAATGACATTTGACGTAAAGCAACGTAAAACATTATCATTATTACTTTCTTCGAATTGTGTAGCAGTTGTGTACGTTTAGAATCTGTTGCATAGCAATGATTTTTTTTTTAATAACAGTTTACAGAGAAATAGCTCCTGGAGTAGCCAACAGTCCACCCTGTCGGTTTAGGACCACCACACTTTGAAAACTCTTTCAACTACAAGTGCGTTCCATTCAGATCTTTTCCAGCAATCATTTTTGCCTCTGGCCAAGTATTGCCCAGCTCAGGCCATTTTGCACAGTTCTCCGCCATGTTTCTCTTGCTGTTCCTCTTCTTCTTGTTCCTTGGTGATTCTATTGGTGAGCTTCTTTTTCGATCCCATTACTTTACTACCTTACTTTCCTTAAAGTGTGTTCAATCCATTTAAATTTTTTTTTCTTATTTCGTGGATAGGAAGCTGTTCCGTAGTACTTTTGTGTTCTTCGTTAGCGATCCTCTCAGGCCATCAGACCCTCAAGATATAACTGTTAATGAAGGTCTGAAGGAGTCGGGTAACGGTTTCGATCACCTTCCATGTTTCCATGTTTCACTTCCGTAGAACAGGACTGATTTTACTTTGATGTTAAACAACCTTATTTTTGTTTTATTGGACAGTTTATTGTTCTTCCATATTAAATATTGTTGAACAAACACCCAATTAGCTTTTTTGATTCGGTTTTTAACATCATCCAATGAGCCCCCTTCTTTAGTAGCCATGCTTCCCAAGTAGGTGAATGATTTCAGCTGCTCTAAGATGTTTTCTCTCAGAGCAAGTGGATTCCAACATCACTCATTTATTCACATTTATTTCGTTTTATCAACGTTGATTCGCAGTCCAACTCGATTACGATTCGACTTAATGCATTAACTTGTCCTTTAGATCAGTGAACCGCTGCGCAAAAAGTCATAGATCATCAGCGTTGGCGAGATCTTCAAGTTTAGGTCCCACAGGATTTCGCGTATTCGACCCCTAAGCGTAGCTGTTATGATCCTGTCATGAATGGTGATGGAGAGAGTAGGAGAAAGCATTGCTTCACGCCAGTTTCAATATTAATCGGATTCGACAGCAATCCATCATGGATGACACCGGTATTCGTACCCATCATACAAACACCTAATGAGATTTTATTTACTTTTTATGGATGCCATACGTTTCGAGGATTCTCCACATGATGTCCTGGTTTAACGAGTCGAAGGCTTTTTCAAAATGTAAAAACGCCTAAAAACTCAAAATCGATAAATTGCGTATATAGTGAGATTTGCCATTCGACACTCTGCTCCAGTTTGATTCTTAGTGTGTTTATCAAATAGATGCAGCTGCGTTTCTCCCTAAAACCTACCTGCTCCTATCTTAATCAAGCCTCCAAAATCGTCTTTGAATTTTTTCGCAGGCATGCCATAAATTTCAGGAGCTTTGCCGTTCTTCATTTTGCAGACGGCCGCTATGTTCTCATTGAATCTTGATGGAGATTCTACAACTTAAGGAACTTCAAGAGCAATATGAGTAACTCATACTGGAGTTACTTAGCTTTCTCACTGCTTCTGTTCATCGAGTGCCATCGAGAAATATTCTTCCCAACGCATTAGCTAGTCTACTTGAGAGGTAAGGAGGGAGAGGTACCTTTCTGCTCTTAATTGATAGTCGGAAACCTTTCTTCGTAATTCTTTAAAGCTCCTCTGCATTCCCAATACTCGCAGCTTCCTCTGCTCTTTGCGAATGATCGTTGACCAACTGTAGCTGTTTGTTCCCAACGTTTATTTTTTATTTTCCAGCCGCTTGGGGGCATTATATTCCTGTTGTGCACTGGCTTTCAGCTGTCTCGTCTTACTTAGGTAGACCTTCTGTTTAAGCTGTTTTCTTCTTTTTATCTCCTTTCAGGTTTTCTTAGTCACTCACTCCTTTTTCAAGAGGTTTTCATAGCCTACACAAGATTAGGTCACTTCTAAGATGCTTGATTTAATGGCCTTCCAGTGTTCGTCGACGGAATGATCGTCCGTCTGAAGTAATTGAAATTGGTTGCTTAATTTAATTTTAAGTCCTCGTTTACCTTTGGCAGTTTGAGTTCCTTGAAGTCTAGCAGCTTCATCATTTTCTCGAGTTTGATTGTAGCTGAGACTATTTTCATGCAGAATGTAAAAAGCGTGAGATAGCGATCGTTTTCCACATCGGCCCCCTTTTGTTTCTAACAAGAGAGCTTCTAAACTTCCTACTGATGGCGATCGTTATGTGTTCTATCCCCTCGTTATCAGCAACAACGTAACTACTAACACCAACTACTCACTCGACTGACCCGAGTATGATAGAATCCCACCATCATTTGTCAACGTTTTCCCTTTTCTCAAGATGCACTGTGTAATGACATCTCAGCTTTTCAGTGATTTTCTCGGCCTCCATTCCACCATTTTGTTAGTAAAAAAATCTTTTATTTGCCCTATCTCCCAGTTGGAGAGATTTGCTCCGTGGCTTGATTGATTAATCGGATTTTTGTTCGTGAAAGAGTCGTAAGGCATCTAAGATAGTTCTTATCCGCCGGTTCAGATATTTTTCAGCTGGTGATGTCCCATCTCATTTCTGAATTGTATAAATATTTTTTATCTTACTGGGTAACTGGGTGCAGGGGAAGTCAAGAACGGCAGATTTGGCAAGAATATAGATTAATATATAGCCATACCCAAAAACCGCCAAATCTCTAGTATGTTTGTTGGTCTGAGCATATCGATAATACTGCTCTCTTAGTTTTATTGAAGAAAAAAGAATACAATCTGTCACAATTTAAGGCATTGAGCATTATGGTTTTTGTTTATATAAGGGCATATCGATAATAGCTCTATTTTTTAAAAAGATTTTGAAATTCTATTTTGCTCATCTACATGACCGAGATAATCTTTTCTCGTTTGGAAAAATGCAGACTACTTTTTATTGAGGTGTAGGGCGTACTCTTTTAGTCTCTAGAGACAATCGAGCAGGTTTATTTTACATTCCTCTTTGGATTCGCCATGAGCCATGTTACCGTCGAAATATGTTATGATTTTCGTTAAATATTTTAATATCAGATCGATTAAGCCGTATTGATGCTGTAACTTAATCTATTCATGCGATATGTTCCACGGCGTGTAATAATGGTTTGGATATTGCTAGATTTTTGTCTGCTTGCAGATGCAAGTATGCTTTAAACAAATCTAATCGACATAAATATCTTGAATCCCGTAGGCTATTTAGAACCTTATATAATTTTTTTTATTGAGTAATTTGTATTCACGAAGTGGTCTGACTGACCCATCACGTTTGGGTATAACTACCATGGACAACACCCAAACGCTTGTTGGTGCTTTGGATTCCATTTCTGCGGCTTCGAATGAATCTAATTCTGCTTATACTTGTTCTCGCAGTGCGTACGGTACATTCCCTTCTGTAGTATAGATAGGTTTAGAATTATCTCGTAGTTGCAATTTAATAAAAAAATCTGGTACACATCCTACTTTTCGGACAAACATTTCAGGCAAAAGGTATTCAATGTCCGTAACGTAGTTAATGGTTAAGGTACTCTGATAAATGTTAACTGTCTTTTCTTCCTTCTCTATATCTTGTAAGTTTATTTTCAAGTGTTTAACCCACATTCGTCCTATAAGACGCAGTGTCCATATATTCCATTCTAACTTGGCTTTTCATAGCTGTTTAAAAACTTTGTTTGTATATGATTTAAAAGTAATATTTGAGGGTTGAATTGGCTTTTTAAATGTTTAAATTGCGTTTCAGGTTTGAGCTTAGCCCCGGTATCAATTTCGAATGTTTAAAAACTATTTCCGATTTTGGGAATCTTCTGATAGTTTTTATATTGGTTGAATATTAAGTTGAACTATTTTATTTACACTTCATAATAGTCATAATAGTTTGTTCGCAAGTCTGATTCGTTAGTTGACAGTCTATGTGTGTAGCTGAATTGCTGCGGTTTTTAAGTTGCGCGGTGGTTATGCAAACTTACGCTACATGTCCAGTAATACCACAAGATGAACATTTTAAGTTTAGGGAATTTACTCCATATTCTTTCGGCAAACGGTTTGTTATTCCACATCATAAGCAATGGTTATAGACTCCTAAATTTCTTAAATAAACGCAACCTCTTCATTGTGGTCTTATATTTAAATTGTCCTCCCTAAACCTTTTGAATGGAGATACTTTATCTTTATAATTTATAGAAAATGGAATTTTATTCAATAACTATCGGCTATATCCTTTTGATGCCTAGAGTGAAATAGCTTTTATTATCATATCATTAAATTCACCTGTATCCGATTCTTAATTTCTTTCTTCTTAATTTGTATTTTTTCAACATTTGAAGAGGGGCAGCTGCCCCATCTAATCTTCCTCTGAATACACCTACGCTAACAATTCTTGAAATAGATTGCCAGTGTGTAAGTTATCAGTAATGTACATTATACAGGTTAGAGGATATATAATCAGATTTTAACCAAAATCAAAGGTTGTTTTGCCGTGTTTCCCATAGGTAACACCGTAAAAAAATTTAAAAATAAAAGGAGCCAATATTCATGTTCATCGAAGACAATTAAGGAAAATCTCCTCGGACAAAATGACCAAACAGTGGATAGGTGGAAAGAATATTCCCAGTATATTCTTCTCTGTGGAAAGGGGATACACAACTACCTCAAATAGATGAAGAGCAGAGATAAGAAAGTCACACGGTGGAGAATGACCATATAGAAAAAAGCTAGTGTAGTTGGGGAAATCTAATTAAGCTCGAATGAAAAATCGGAAGACTTAAATGCAAAAGTATATTGGTTACATCAATTCTTTACATATAATAACTGAAATTGTCTAGTATTAGTAAATATTTTATTCACAAAAACGATTTTTTTTTTTACCAATCTTGGTCTTGGCCGTGCAATGTGCAAGGCCAAGACCTTTTTTGGATAACACAAAAGAAGACGAAGCAGAGAGAACGCTGTTGAACTCGAAGCTGAGGAAATCTATGGGCAACGATGTAATAACCCCTGAAAAGCTTAAATAAATGCGCCCCATAGCAAAGGGAATTTTAATACACCTTTTGAACCTAGTTTCGAAGTTCCGAAAGATTGGGAAGTAGCTATTATTGTTAAATTTCTTAACAAAAGGAAAACAGAGAGTGTAATAACTACCGAGGTATATTTCATAAGTGTTCCCAATAAGATATATTTTCTAATCATTGAAAAGAGAATAAGAAAAAGAAGGATTGCTCTAAGATGAGCAATACGGTTTTGTGAAAATCGGGGAACAGAGAAACATATTTTTGCCATGAAATAGATCTTCGAAAAAGTACTTTAATTTTGCTATGGGGCGCATTTATTTATTTATTATGCAAGACCAAGACTGGTCATTTGGGCATTTGGGCATTACTAGCTTTCTTCTATATGGTCATTCTCCACCGTGTGACTTTCTTCTCTCTGCTCTTCATCTATTTGAGGTAGTTGTGTATCCCCTTCCCTCAGAGAAGAATATTCTGGAAATATTCTTTCCACCTATCCACTGTTTGGTCATTTTGTCCGAGGAGATTTTCCTTCCTTGTCTTTGACGAACATGAATATTGGCTCCTTTTATTTTTAATTTTTTTTACGGTGTTACCTATGGAAAACACGGAAAAATAACCTTTGATTTTGGTTAAAATCTGATTCAATATACTCTAACCTGTATAATGTACATTACTGATAACTTACACACTGGCAGTCTATTTCAAGAATTGCTAGCGTAGGCGTATTCAGAGGAAGTATAGGGCAGCTGCCCCTCTTCAAATGTTGAAAAAATAAATTGACAACAAATATTAAAACCGAATTTCTGAAAAAAATCTGAATGTTTCAACAACTGAAATAAATTAATCGCAAAATAATGGCTAATTTTTTTAATTAATCAATTAGCTATTTTAATGATTACCAAGTTAGCACTCGAGGCTAATAGTTTATTTAATTACTTAAACATTTCAATAAAAACATAAGGTAAGAAATTATTATGATAATCTTTAATTCTTAACTTCAGTCATAGTTGAAATAATATTGTCAAATGGAATGGTGATGTCTTGCTTAAAAGAAGAATTTATCATATTATTTACCATATTATTTTTTAATAGGCAAACATATAATTATGAGAGTATTTTAATTTGATTATGAATATCACAATACGTGATTTATTGAGCCGTTATAGCATAAACATGTTCTTATGAAGTTTATTGGAATATTATATTGTTATTATCATATTAATATCATATTCAATTCAATTCGACAATAAACTTAATGTTTATCGGGTATCCGCCACGACAGCTCCAACAACAAACCTTAAGCAATATTTATTTGTAAAATAATATTTTATTGAGAAAAAAAACAAAAACATTTTGCCTCAATTAAGGGCATTGAGTATTTAGGATGAATGAAACACAATCATACCATATATACAATAGAAGAAAAACAAGATTAGAACAAAATAAAATAAAATAATACTTGGAGTAACAGAATAAATCAAACATGATACAACATTAAATAAATAAAAATAAAATAAAATAAATAAAAACACATTCACACTTATTTACAATATTTACAGTAAGCCAAGGGAGCTCTGAGTCGGGCCTTTTCCCCCACTTGTGGAGGACAAGGCCAGACTCCAAGAGATCCCAGCGCTTCTCTCTCAGCCGCATCACTAGGATGGGAATACATTGGAGACTGAGAGAGGGCACTAAAGCCACATACGCTCATGACTTGAGTGGAGAAGCTGGCCATTGCCAGGACTCCAATGACGTAATTACAAAAGATCTCGAGGCCACTGCCGCTCCAACCTTCGAGGAGGATTGTACGGATGACTGGAACTGGATAAGGATTGTGCTAAGGGATTAGGATGATAGGTTAGGTTCAGAAGAAAATTTGAAAATTGGGATGGAATAACGTCAAAGACATAAGGGATATTAAGGTTTTATGCAATATTTAAATTTACTCAATAAGCAAAGACAAGAATTTCCCTCTGCCGTTACTGAATTACAATAACTCACTTAACTATATATATATATATATATATATATATATATATATATATATATATTGTATATATATATATTGTAACTGTATATATATAGTGAGTTATTGTAATTCAGTAACGGCAGAGGGAAATTCTTGTCTTTGCTTATTGAGTAAATTTAAATATTGCATA